CAGTACTCGTTACCTCTCAGAGTTTTTGAGTATGTTTGTTATGTTCATCACTTTGGTCCTGTCGTAATAAACTCGATTCTCGCTCAATGAAATGCATGCATTTTCCTTGGTTACTCCTTAGCACAGAAGGAATATCGATGCTATAATCCTTCTCTACAACGCTACTTTGTAAGTGCAAACGTCACTTTCAAGGAGTCTGATAAGTGTATTTTCTACACTTATTCGGGGCTTAAAATTATAAAATTTTATTGATCTTTTGGCAAAATTTTACATGATTTATGTTATATTGTATTGTGCAGGTAAAACGTTATGTTTGATGAAGAATTGGAGAAAAGAAGCAAAATATGGTGAAAAATGGTAAAATCCAAAGTTCGAGGATCAAATTGCAAATACTCAAAAAGATACGTTGAAAATTGCTAGGAGACAATTGGATTGAAATTAGAATTCAAATGGAGGAAAGAAGCAAAATATGGTGAAAAATGGTAAAATCCAAAGTTCGAGTATCAAATTACAAAAACTCAATAAGATACTTTGAAGATTGCTATGAGACAATTGGATTGAAATTAGAATTCAAAAAGGAATGGAACATGATCAAAGTATTATCAAAATCAATTTCCAATCGCTCAACATATATTCCAGATTTTTAGCCGAATATTGAGACCCATTTTTGGCATAGTAAACGTCCGAATTGGAAAAACACTATTTCAATCAAAGTTGTAGCCCTTTAAGTTATCTTTCAAACGCACTTTGAATCGCATCAATCAGATATCAGAAGAGAAAATTATGACAAAAATACGAATTGCTGTGCATTGACAAAAAATCTGCGCGCGAAGGCAATTTTCCTTATTCGATTAGAACTCTTTTGGAAACCAATTTGGACGTAATTTTCAACCAATTTTCGCTCATATAAAGAGAGAACAGCAAAATACATATGGAGAACCTCCCTAGACCTAAAAATCTCTATATTATACATATTTTGGAGGCGAAGAACATGACTAACAACGTGGAATCAAGGCGAATTGCATAGGATATTGAAGATTCTTCATCCGGATTCAAGATTCACATCAAGAACGTGGATTTTTCCTACTTCTTCCATCTTTCTTATTTTCGGGTGATATTTTTCCAATTATTCTTGTGTAATTTAATTTCTACAATATGCTAGGCTAAATTCCCTTGTATTGGATGGATGATGAAGCTAATTAATTTTTAGTTTTTAATTCGATATCATGTGTTTTTAATTTAATTCTTGCATTGTGATTTCATAAACATATATGAATTTATTGTTTTTAATGTTTGCGCACCATTATGACAATTAGTTGCTTATTCGTAGTGTTGGAAAACTCACGGTAGGTAGAACACTGTTTATGGAACACACGGACAATAAATATTAGGAATAATATTTATGGCGTGTGCGGTCATGTGTGATAATCCTAAACGTCAATGCTTGCTTGTCATATGAATTCGGACTAGGAATAGGATCGTCTCGTGGCAATCATAGATTTATTATATCTTGGGAAAGAATAGTAAATGAAAGTGGAATTATCGATCGTCGCAATTGCATGAATCGAATTAATTATCACTGGTTGAGAATTGAAATTAAGAATTGATTAGTGGAGTCGGAAATCCAATACACTCACCCACATTTGATTTAAAACCATTTTTTTATTACTTTCGTAGTTATAGAACGTAGTCAACTAAAAATCAACCATCTTTTGTTACATTTGCGATTTTAAATATATCGAATACTCTAAAATTGAGCTTTATTCCCTGTGGGACGATAACTCACTCATCACAATTATTACTTGTACAACGAACTCGTACACTTGCGAGATTTTTGCGTAACAGAGTCCAGCCCCTATTTCTTTGCTCATAGTACGTCTCCTAAAGCCACTCGGGATCCCATTAGCTTACCCGTATCATATCTACCGATTAGTATTTCTCTAGAACTAGACTCTTCTCCGTCTACTGCACCAAAGATGTCCTCTCATACGGAACCACATCCTCCTTTACAAGTTTATATTCGATGATCTAAGCCAACAATGCCTATGGCCGTATCCGTCACCTCGCCGTCTAGAGATCTTGCATCCGTTATCTATTTTGATCCTAAATCATTGCCCATTGCTCTTCAAAAAGGTAAATGTACTTGCGTAACTAAACACCCTACCTCACTATGTCACTTTTGATTTGTTGTCATGTTTTTTTCTTGTTTCACATCAGAACTTTTTAGTTTTTTGTACCTAAGACAAGTGATAGAAGCTTTATATGATGACGAAAGGCTGTAAAATTAGAAATGGCAGGCTTGCATTAGAATAAGACTTAAGAAATCGTTCCTTCATCACCTGGATTACATCATGTTGGTAACAGACGAGTCTGTGTTCTGAAGTTCAATCCTAATGGAACTGCTGATCGATTGAAAGTCTCAACTGGTTGCTAAAGGTTACACACACAAACCTATAGCATTGATTATGATGAAAAATTATCTCTAGTTGCTAAGATCTCTTCTATTTGTGCTTTGGTTTCTATGCTGCCAACCTTGGTTGGCTACTTTTTCAATTGGATATTAAGAACATGTTTGAGCCTCATTTTCTTGCCAAAATGCATTTTAGAATAATGATTTGATAGAATGTGTGGTTAAAAAATAAAGAAAAATTTTGAATGTGCGTAATATTATTTTCTTGAAGAATGTGGTTGCAAATAAGAGAAAAATATATATTTCGAAAATAATGGGGACCAAACATAGGCTAAAAATGTCTTCCTTCATAATGACTTACACGAAGAGGTTTATTATGGAGCAACCACCTAGGTTTGTTACGTTGGGGAATACTAGAACTATGTAAGTTGAAAAAGGCTTTACATAGGTTAAAACAATCGCCAAAGGCATGGTTAGGGAAGTTTTCTGAGGTTGTTCTGCAATTTGGTCTTCGGAGGTGTTAGACAGATCATTTTCTATTTCATCTACAAACTAGTGCATGCTATGTTATTCTTATAGTTTAGGTAGAAGATATTGTAATCAATAATGATGCAAATGGGATTGCCCGATTGAAATAGTTTTTACAAACATATTTCAAAATAAACATCTAGGCAAGCTCCGATATTTCTTGGGTATTGAAGTCCCTAGGTCTCGGGCAGGTATCAACTTGTCTCAGAGAAAAAATGTACTTGACCTATTATATGAGACATGTTTTCTTGAAACTCGTCCAGTTGATACTCCTATTAATCCTAATGTGAAGCTTTTGAAGAACGAAGGAGAATTGTTTGGAAAACCAGGAAAATATCTTTTTTGGTTGGAAAATTGAATTATCCTAGCATCACATGACCAGATATTTTCTATGCAGTTAGCGTCATTAGTCAATTTTTGGATGCTATACAAATTTCTTATTGGGAAGCTGTGATACGTATTATTAGATATTTGAAAAATGCTCCAAGTCTTAGATTATTATATAAACCAAATGGACATCAAAATAGAAGGGTTTACAGATGAAGATTTGGCAAGATATCCATCGGATGGACAATCTACTATTGGTTTCTGTACTTTTCTAGGAGGTAATCTTGTCTCTTGGAAAAGTAAAATAAGTTGTAGTAGCAAGGTCTAGTGCAGAAGCAGAATATAGGGTAATGGCTCATACTACTAGTGAGCTGACATGGATGTAGCACTTTCTTCAAGAAATTAATCTCATCTACTCCTATTCCAAAGTTTTGTGATAATCATGCTACTCTATCTATTGCATTCAATCCAGTCTTTCATGAGAGAACCAAGCACATTGAAGATGATTGTCACTTTGTTTATGACAAAATAGTGAGTGGTGATATATGTACACCATTTGCGAAGACAGGAGACTAGCTTGATGATATGTTTACAAAGTCGGTGAATGGTAATCAACTAAGGTTTCTTTGTTCCAAGCTGGGCTTATATGATGTATATGTTCAACTTGAGCACGAGTATTAAGGAAATAAATAAATTAGAATAATGTAAATCAAGCAAGAGTGCAATTGGGTTTATTGTGTTTCCATTTTTGTACTCTATTTTCGTATGTGTACTATTAATTTTTCTCTAGATAATGAAAGTGAACGAGAGGAAGAGAATTACCTTCTCGCATATGCTTATACCAAACTCGTTTAAACAAATTGATAGAGTGAAGAGTTAACCATTTATGTGTGTATACAATATTTCTCAGCATATATTCACACAACCTTGTCAACATACTAACTTGTTGACAAGGCTTTCGGATACTTTGGTGTCGTTAATCCAAGAAGTTCAATAGCGATATACATGGAATCCAAGGCAAGTGAAAGGGAGGATATTCCATTTACAACAAACCGATGGACTACTGATGGATCCTAGTGTCGGCGATGAATTAGACAATCACTATGAATCAATTTTTAATCTTGTTATTGAGTCGGAAATATATGTGGATTTGGACAACAAAAGTTACAATAACCCACCTATTTTGACAAGGAGATTGATATTCAGGTGCAAGATGTAAGCAGATCTTCAATTGAGTATGATAACATGGATGAAGTAGAATTATGGAGAACAAATTAAAGTTGAAGATGTATTAGAAGAGAATTTTAAAAAAGAGGGTGTGAACGCAGATTTTTGCTTTGGTATGGATGTCTCCTTCAAAGGTGAGTTTTTAAAGGGGGTGTAACAATCTCAACCTCCGTGTTCAAACTGTTAACTTACGTATTGTCCGTTCTCGAAAATTTTGATTCTATCTTACCCCTCAAGGGTTTCTATCGCATCCCAGGATTCATCACATTTCCCTTCAGAGAGATTTAAATTGAACCCCGGTACTTGCAACCCCCTTTGTATTAATCCTGCCCTTGGGACTAACACCGTAACTCTGCAGCTCTCCAGATCTCTGATCAAAGTAAAATAAAACATGATAAAGTCACCAGAAATAGGGGGAATCACTAAGCCTGTGAAACAATGGGATATTTTTTAACAAATTCAGAGAAAGGAATGCAGTAATGTTGTAAAAAAACGAGAGAGAGGTTACTGCAGAAATGCAAGGCCTAAGCTGACGAGCAAAAACATATTCAAGTGAATTATGAGTTCCTCTGCGGGGTGCTGGGATGACTCCAAATTCTGTAGTCACGCGATGTGGACAACTGATTGTAGTGTGGCCTTTAATACCAAAAATAGAGGAGTCAACATGAATCTCAAAATACAATAGTAATGAACTATTAATAGTATTATCTGAAAACAAAAGATGAACGATAAAGAGCATAACATTGCAAGATTCAAAAGCACCGCACTGAGATTGTAAGTTGTAACTACATTGTGCTAAAAGATATTTACCAGGCATTTTGCAGAGGAAACAGGGTTTCATTGGACAATCAATATACGTGGCCCCTTTAAATCCTGCTTCATGACCCGGTCTCTTGCATACCTGCACAAAATAATGGCAATTCAATAGTCTAATGCAACCCGATAAATTTCCCTTTTTTTTTTTGTACTGTCAACAGGTCGAAACTATACAGGGATTCAAACCCGACCTAAAAATGTTGAAAATTAAAGTACATTTAGAATATGGAGTTGTAAGGAATTTAATTTTTACTTTGCAGACTTTCTTGAGAGAAATAGTGATGTGTTTCGTCTTTGGTTTCCTCGACGTCGTAGTGGAAGCCTCATTTTCTACTACTTGATCATTATCATCTTCTTCTTCTTCTTGGGATGGGTAATCATCGACTTGATCATTTTCTTCTCCAGATGAACTCTCTTCTTCGGAGTCCGTTTCTCGTTCAATCACTACTTTCGTGAACGACATTTGTGAAGTTATGGGGAAGAACACACACGAAACGGGTTTTCGTAACAGGAAATGAATTTGTTGAGATTCGATTGGAATAGAGAAGAGGGTTTATGAACCAACTTTTCACATTACCCAAATTGTCCTTGACGAAATAGAGGCTGCAGCCTTACGTTCGGTGTTAATATGGAAATTCGCATAACATCGATAGGCGGGAGATGACGTGGACGCCTTTCATCCATTCGCGTGTTAAAAAGAAATATTAACGACGTGTTTGAACAACATTAATTTGAAGAAACTTGAAGAAACGTATATTGGAATAATAGATTGATGGAGAATTTATGGTTAAAAAAGAAGGAAAAGTTATTGATGTGACGAAAAATATTATTTTATTAAAAAATGTGTAGTTGAAAATGAGTAAAAGAATGAGAATGAAAATTTTAATGTGTGCCAAACAGGGGCTAAATATAAAAAGTATTTCGCTAAAAAAATATATAAATTAAATCAAAACTAACAATTAATTAATTTAAAGTAATTAGCACATAGCGCTTATTTTTCTCTATTATTATGGAAAACGTTTTTACTTTTCAATTTTTTTTTTCACGTTTATTTCTAGCTTTCATTGTGCAAAATATCATTTTTATTAATTTTCTCAATTAAAAGTTATGAAATGACAAATATATCATTCTATTTAAGGCCATATTTGTTTCAAATTAAAATTAGATTTTAATTTAAATCAATATTAACCACATCTTTTATGAATCAAACAGCTTTTCAATCACACATTTCAAAAACTTTTATTACAATGTACTAAAAATCTAATTTCAATCCTCAGCAAACACCTTCTGAATAAAACAAAAAGAAAAAGAAAGAACAAATTGCAATTGTTATTCCAATTTTTTTAAAAAGTATAAACGAATTCCAAATAAATTATTAAAAGAGCAATCAGCACATAATATCTCTACATTTCCTTATTATTATTATGAAAAAGTCATTACATTTCTTTTTTGATATTTGATCGTTTGATTTCCCGCAAGAGAACGGGATCGTGATCAAATAATATAGTAGTGTGTAAAGTGTCGAACCCACGAGAACTACGTATTTGATCGAGTTAAAGGTAATAATACCCTTAATCGAATAATAATAATAATTTCTAATAAATCTATATTTAATTTATCATGCACAAGAAATTAAAGTAAGAGTTTATCAAATTTATGAGATGTATTACTAATATCTAGAATCCTCCTTCTTCATCCATTTTTAGTTTAACAATTAAATTAACAATTTGCTATCATGCGAGCTGGTCGAAATTCCAAATTTATTTAAAAGCTTCTCTCAATAGCAATTAAATCTATTCCCCTCGTGCAACATTCCTATCTCTCGATGAAAAATATGAACATGATAAATGTATTAACGAACTAGAACATCATTATGAACCATGCAAAGCATAGAGATATATCTCTATCATATATCGAACCTCACAATA